AGTCTTAAGGAGGTCTTGGAATCTACTTAAAATGCTTCAAAGACTAGCCAGTGTGTGTTTACCTCTGCCCACACCATATGGGCTGACTAGGCAGCACCACAGGTCCTTACCACATTTCATCTTAAATAAATTCAGCCAGGGGCATTGCTTGTGCTGTGGTGGTTGGGGCTTCTGATAGTTGTGTGTTCTTCTGACTAATGACAATGGGTAGATAAGGCAAGGATGAACAGCTGAAAAATAGGCTTTATGTGTGCACGTGGGTGGCGGGAAAATGTTCAATAGAGTTGTTGACAGAAAGTAGAAAACCTTTGATTTCTCAGATGGTTTTCAGGTGAAGACAGTGGTGGAACAGCATCCCCTCTCACCTCTCTGAACAGTCCTTGGGGTGGAAAGGGAAGACGGTTATCATCTCTGTCAGTCATCAGGTCCATCTTAGGGGAACTGTTCAAAGAGGGGAGTAGCTGGGTGAGGTCCTCATTTTTTTTTCTGACTTCTGAGTCTGGGAGTAACTGGGAACAGCTGTTATTATTATTTTGGTAATAGCTGAGACACACTGCAATCACTTTAACCCAATCTGAACTGTTATGGGGAAGAATGGGAAAAGGTCGGCACCAACAGGAACAGCTAAAAATAATTTTCGAGAGTGTGATTGGTGGAGTCCTTTCATTTTACAGGTAGGCAAAGTGAGACCCAGAAGGGTCACAGACTCTTCTCAAGGTCATACTACTACAGTTAAATTCCAGATCCCAGGTCTGCTGCACACTAAACAACCTGCAGTAGAGCCTCGAGATGGGCAGACAGGAGACAGTACCATCCATCTTAAAAATCATTTTGGCTTCTGCTAGCTGATGAAGGAAATAAAGTTAATGACACCCACATCAGTGTGATGCTGTCGTAGGCTCTGTATACAGGCTGCCCGGAGGCGAACACTGCAGACCCTCTAATGCAGGAGAAAAAGGTTTCTTCAGGAATGGCATGTATCCCTGCAGAGTGCCCAGTTTTGAACTGGACACACAATCACGTAGTTAGCTAACACCTGGTGAAGGGATGAAGGCAGGGAAGCCACTGGGGCCGGCTCATCCAGAGCCTTTGTGCAAACGGGGTCCTGTCTTTGCAAAATGAGTTGCTCAGAGACTGAAGGGAACTCACAAGGGTTGGGTTTAGCCATCTGAGTAGAAAATTAGAATAGCCATACGGAAGGAGCCTTGTTATGGCTGTGCCGCAGGAGGAGAGCTGAGTTGACTCTGGAAGTCAGAACCCGTGGCCCATAGCTGTTCTGCTTCCACTGCACCGCATAGCTGCGGCCTTTCATAAGGCCATCTCACAGATAAATTCCCCATGTGTCCTCGGTAGGTCATTCCCAGTTTTGCAAATATGCAGATGTTACGTGTGGATTTATAATTCCATTTATTGGCTTTGGGTCCCTGTCCAAACTGCTCCTTGGGAATGAAAACATGAAATTTCTTTTCTATCTTTCCTAAGCCTCCAGAGGGCAGGCAGGCTGATTGACATTTTGGTTGGCTCCAAGGCAGACTTGCCCTATGGGCTTAGTTCTTTAGGAAAAAAGTCCTTGGGCCATTTCAGAAACTTCTAGATGCGTTCCGCAGTGCCCCCAAATACAGTGGGCAGGACTCAGGCAGAACATAGCTGTTATCGGGGAGAAAGACCAAGGTGGTTGTCTGTCCTTCCTGGTAAGCTTGGGAACCTTCCCAAGAGGGTCTGTCTCAGGAAAACACTCATTTGTGATAGAGATATTAAACAATGTCTTTTCCATGGTCTTTCTTGTCCTAGAATTGATGCAAACATCTGCATTTCAAAGTTTTGATCAGCTTTCTTAGCAAGTGACTGACACACAGAGTCTAAAATCTCAGCACAAGGTGTCATCTCCTGGGATGGGAAATGGAAAAGGTACACACGGAAAGGTGGTGATCTTGTGGGAAAACCACTCGGTTCATGTCCCTCTGTGTTCGATCCCTGCTGAAGCACAAGCGAGATCCCTTTCTGTCTCAGCGGGACGTGCTGTGTATTCTCCCAGGGGTTATGTCCCCAGGCAGATTCGACTTTTTCATGATGACAATTAGTGCATCAGAGAAGCTGATTAAAAATTTGGGTTATTTTTATTGTCATTCACAACTTGGGCAATTCTGTCCCTTCTCACTGTACCCTGGGTTAGTTTGCAGTGTTTGGAGACGTTTTTGTTTGTCATGACCAGGGAGAAAAGATGCGACTGGCACCAGACAGGCTGCTACAATGCACAGGGCAGACGTCATGACAAAGAATTACAAAGGTCAAAATGTCAATAGTGCAGAGGCCGAGAGGCATCATTATAGATCATGTCTGTCTGAGTTATTAAGAAGGCAAGGAACTGTTGGGGTCATACTAGTCCCATCCTTGCTATAAGCCTTTGCCAAGACTCTGGGGGGATCAAAGCCATGTCCCTTTGGTTTAAAGTTGGGTTGAATGGAATGCATTTCCAGCGTTAAATAAATAAAGAAAAATTGAATATTAGTTTTAGCCCAAGTGGATATAAGGCCCCAACCTCCAAGTGACACACAATTTGTGTTATTGGATTGCAGGGTGTCATGTATGAAACTTAAGAACGCCAGGCTGTTTACCACGAGAGCAGGAACTTCAGTCACATTGCTTTCACGCATTTGTGGGGACATGGCTGATGAACACTGCAGTGTTGCTGGTCTCCTAGGACCCCAGTCTGCCTTGCCAATGCCTCCATTCACTCCCCGCAGTGGTAGTCTGTGAGGCTCCAGCACTGCTCACTTCAGTTTTTGTTTGTTTTGCTGTCGATGTCACTGTTTCTCTGGTTGCGCACAGATGCGATGCAGCAGCACCTTGGGTAATGCCCTGGTGCCCCCCCCCAAGATTTTCAATAATTTCAAACAGGTGAGCCACAGGCCTTACTCAACCTAAGAAGGGCCTGGGCCCTGGGAATATACACTGGCTCATCCAACCCTCAGCCTGTCCCTTGGTGAGAAGGGCTGGTTACTCCCCTATAACCTGTAAGGGAGCTGCTGGCCTCTGTTTACCCTACGTTCTAAGGCTGTTGTATGTCTTACCTAAAACTTGAAAGATGAAAGTATCAGAGATGCAAATACCATTTGAGCAAGGACATCTTGCTTGGTTAACCCTCTCGTGATCCCCTTTGCTTCATTTATCTGGAAAACTGCAGAGGGGTGAACATTAACTCCTAAAACGAAGCAACCATTCTCCTGCTTTGATAGTGCCGCAGCACCAGCATAAGCTGGATCTCTCTAGTCATGCCTCTTGCTTCCTCACAAACACATCGAGTTCTCGATCATGTCTATTGCTGTTTATGTGTGCCTTCACCCATAGAGGGGAAGGGAGACACAATGAGACTCTCTGACGAGCCACCACCAGTTCACTTGAGGAATTAACACAGCGGAGTCTCACCCTTATCTAAGCGATTACAATGCAGACCTTTTAGACCGATTCCCCTTTTTAATGAAAGCTTATGTCTGGGAGAGGCAAAATCAAGGGTTGCATCAAGAAAAAAAAGAATGGGGGTGGGCAGAGTGATAAGACACTTCTTGCCTCCCCCCATGAAGTAGGTAAATCTCACAAGGCTCTGGGATGTTGGACTTAAGAAAATACTTGACTATTTACATTCTAAGCTGTGACTGGGGCAGTGGCATGCTAAAGAAGTATTTTAAGAGGGTATTAAAAGCTTTAGCAGTGGGTAACCCTGGGAAGGGAGGGGTTCTCTTGTCTTCATCATCTTGAGAGAAAAAACACAAAGAGAGACTCAAATTCAGAAACTGTCACTTGGGAGAGGAGGCCTCATCCATATCACCAGCCAGTGGATTAGTCAAACCAACAACTCTTGGCAGTGTAATAAAATCACGATTATGTGCTGTTTTATGATCAGAGAGGATCTTATTTGGTGGTCATATAGTTTTTTAGAACAACCGGATTGGTTTTTTTTTCCCTCAAATGCCTATTAACTCACTACAGTGGTAAAACACGAGAAGCAGACACGCTAGGATGAGGAAGATTAACGATCTCTGCAGAGCCGGGAAGAATATTTTTCAATTCATATAGATGGAATTTATCATCACCACCTCTGAAGATGGCGTGATTTGCCCACTTACAAAAGGCCTATCTGTTTCAATACTTCCTAAAGACATGATTTTTCACTTTTCACTTGGACTAACACAAGAATGCTCAGCCTGTACGCAGAGAATTAGGAGTCAATGGATGGGTGTGGGGAGCCCAGCTATGGCGGCAGGGATAGGCATTCATTCATAAATAAGAACTGCCCTTTAGAGCAGGGGAGGGTCGGCTGTAACAGAGTTCAGAAAGAAGTGTGTCTCAGGGAGGGATGGAGTCAAAGTTTTGAAAGGAAAATGTTTCTCAGTGTCTATGCGTAAATAGGCCTGATCTGCACTCAAGTTAGGGCTTTGCAAGCTGAGGTCATAACTGCGTTATCCCCTAGCTTCAAACCACAGGAACCTTGACACCCCCCCCTCCAGAAAAACAACAAAAAGGGAGACAGAATGCTCTGTTTTGTGTCCAGCCAGTCCAACTGCAACCTTCCGCGTCACCGCTAGTTGTCACTTCGCTCCCAGACGGGAGACCCGGGGTTTCCAGCACTGCGGTTTGAGAGAATGCGGTCCCAATTAAACTAAAAAACTCATAAAGCTTCTCCTTAAGTCCTCAGCTGAATGAAGGGTAACGAGCAGAGGGGCCAGGGAGCCAGTATCGGGGGGGAGTGTAGCAGTCAGATAGACAAACCGCAGGAAACAGGCAAACCGCTGCCGCCAGAGCAGCCACTGTCTGGGACCTACACGCACCAGCCAGACACCCTGCGGGTGGAGGGGGGGGGGGGGAGGAGGGGAACAGAAAGGCCTTCAGCACACAGCACCCCCTCCCCAACTGATGAGGCCGCGACAGAGTCAGCCTCTTTACTTCACCTGAACCGCATTTGCACATAAGGATAGTAGTGGTCAGTATAGAAAATCGCGTACCTGAAGAATACAATGGTCTCCCAAAGGTAGAATCGCAGAGTGTTGAAGCTGTACATTTTCCAGATTCTTGTGCTGTAAAGTCCACGAGTTATGGGGGTGCAAAATATTTCCGATGGGCACCTATGAAACCAGAGAGCGCCAATGGGGAAAAATAATCCAGATGTTCAAGGGAGCTGGGAAGTAGAGGGACGAGGTGGCAGAGCCGGGGAGAATTGCAGCCAGGCGCAGCTTGGGTACCGCGGACAGCGGCGGCCGTGCAGGTTCAGCACCACGGAGAGCGTCCAGCCCGGCTGCGGGCGGGAAGAGCGCTGCTGGTGCTCAACTCGCTGAAGGCTCCCTGCGGCGCTGGGAGGCACTCTTGGGGGTGGGTATATTTTCTTCTTTTCTTTTCTTTCTTTATTTTTCTCTTTTTAACCCTTATTTTTATGTCGAGATGGCCAGCTTCATGCAAACAAGAAATCCGTGGGGATCAGAGCCCTGGCCTCGGACCTTTAGACCCGGCTGGCATCTTCTTTCTGGCCCTGGGCTGGCCCGAGGGGTTTTAGGTTTTTTTTTTGTTTTTTTCTTTTGTGTGTGTGTGTGTGTGTGTGTGTGTGTGTGTGTGTGTGTGTGTGTGTGTGTGTGTGTGTGTGTGTGTGTGTGTGTGTGTGTGTGTAGGTGGTGGTGGTGGTGGTGGAGCAGGTGACGGTGCTGGCTTCAGTTAGATGTCGGAGAGTGTGCCAGGCTGGCGCAACACAACCGAGTCCCTGAATCTCGTTCCCCTGCCTCCGTTCCAGTCTGCTGTCGCCTTGCAGTCCGTGTTTGCTGGTGCCCTCCGAATAAGTTGGAATTGCTGCAGGAACGGTGTCCCATTGCTTGGGGCTGCAGGCGCAATAGAGCCCACCACAACTTTCAGGGGCTGCTGGGGTCCATGGCTTCCCAGCAGGGCTCGGGAGCTCAACCTTTCAGAGGCAAGTCGGGTTTCTGAGCTCACCCATCTTCTGGCCAGACTCCCTCAGATCTTCAGACTGACTTTCTTACTGCATTAATTTAACAAACTGGCGGCGTAGAGGAATGGGGCGGGGGGAAGGGCCGACAGGAGGGGGTGGAGAGAGGAAAATGGGGGGAAAAACTCCTTAGAAGCTTCAAACCCTCCCACTCGAGGTGTTCATTGGCCCGCGGCTGCAAAAACCATATCTTCTCTCCAGGTTCGGCCAATTGTGTGTTAGGCTCTGGGCTGAGTTTAACCCTTGAAGTGCTGGCAGAGACCAGCTTCCTGCACTTCCCAGGCCCCAGCGTCTTTGCAGGTCTTCTGTCGCTCCAGGGAGTTCATGGAATTCATCTTTTGAAGTCTTTAACATCTTAACCTTGATTTTTTTTTTTTTAAAAGAAAATAGCTGTATGTAAGTGAAACACCATGAGCCCCAGTCCAGATGTGCTTAGGGGACTCAGTTTATCATTTTAAAAGGGTTACTTGGAACCAGATCCCTCAAGTTCTTTAGAGTGCTGAAGCTATAATAGTTGGGCCCACAAGACTTAGAAAAAAGTCTGAAAGACAGAGTAAGTTTCCTTCCAGGGTCACTGTGGTAGGGAGTTCAGGAAAAAAGCCAACTTAGTTTCTAGGGTCAAAGATGAGTGATCTGCCTGGTCCTTTTGAGAGAAACAGAAGACACACTCCTCCATCTGAACAGAGGAAGTTTGAATCCCATCATACAGGCTGGGGATTCTGGCCTCCAATGGCAACGCCAAGGAGTGCCTGTATGGATCTCGGTCCTGTGATGCTCAGTCCTCCCCTTTTCTTTCACCCGCCTTCCTCTGTTTCTCTACCTTATCTGACTTTCAGAAATGAGATATACATTTCACTGTTGAGCCCATCTGGGGAGGTAGAGTTAATCAGATTTTCTCCCAGCCAGGGGACTTTAGTGGATTAATAGCCTCTGCAGGATTTTCTGGCCCGCTGGAACTGGCTGGGACTCTGGGGGCTCTCCCTTTCAAAGCTGCTAAGAGGGGACAAGCCTTTCATTCACCAAGCATATTCAGGAATTCTTTTCTTGGGGCAATAATTCCTCACATCTCTATTCTCTGCAAGTTCAGGTCTTTTCCCAAGTGAAGCTTCCTTTCCCAGCTCAGGAGCAGGCCAGTGGAATCCCCTCTCTCCTGTACTGCAGAAGCATGTCCCAGAGGGACTCTTTCATGGCTTCCCCATGCCAGGGTTCCCAAAACGTTTTCAGTAGTGACTGAAAAGGAGATTTGCTATCCACAGTGGGTGCTCAGGAATCTGATACAAATGTCTGTGTAGATGTACCATATTGAATATATGCATGTAAATATGTAGCATATGTAATCAAAAGCTGACCATTAGCATGCCAGGAGACACCCCATATGGCCTCACTGCTCTCTAGTCACACCTTAAGGTAATATCATCGTCTTTGTGTGCATATGTGTGTGTGCTCTTGAAAGTAAACTTATTCTCTCTCTCTCTCTCTCTCTCTCTCTCTCTCTCTCTCTCTCTCTCTCTCTCCAGGCAGTTTCATTATGTTGCCCTGATTGACACAGAAGTGAAACTAGATATGTAGACCAGGATGGCCTCAAACTCATAGAGATCTATCTGTTTCTGCCTCCTGAGTACTGGGACCAAAAACATGCACTTCCATGCCTGGATTAATAAGTGTGTGTCCTCCCATGTGTATCATTTTTGGTTTATAGTCTGCATTGATCCTGAAGTGAACCTGAAGTGTCTATTTATATTTGTATATTTCTGTTTTGCAATTGGTTTCTGTCCACATAGGCATGTATACTGATACCTTCCTCTATGTGTCACATTTATGCATCAACATGAGTCAGTGTGGTGCCTCAGAGACAATAAAACAAGTAACAAGTTGGTAACTGTATCCTAACCTCGTCTGGCTAGGAAACACTTGCACAGTCAGATATGAATGCAATGTCTACTGCTTTCTTTTACTCCTCCCACAATGGAAAGTGTGTGTGTGTGTGTGTGTGTGTGTGTGTGTGTGTGTGTGTGTGTGTGTGTTGCTGTTGCTGGTGAGTGTGAATATCTCTCAGCTTGTGGTAAAAGAAGAGAGTGACTATGGCACAAAAGAGGGGCACGTCTGCTTCAACAGGTTTCTATTTGTGTGAGACTGACACTTTCAATCAGTTCACACACATGAATGGATATGTCCCAAGCATGGGATAACAGTGGTCTGAACTCCTGGGATATACACTTACTTCAAAGACTACTGAGAAAAGCCAGATAGCTAAGGTCTGTCCAGTTCATTAACTTTTCCAAAGAACCAACTGGTTGGTTTTGTTTGGTTGATTTTGTTTATTATTGTTATTTTATTCTCAATTTTATTAATTTCTTCAAAGACATAAATGGATGGGACTATATGAAAATAAAAACTTCTGTACAGTCAAGAAAATGATCAGCAGAGTTCACAGACAATCTACAGAATGATAGAAAATCTTTGCCATCTACGCTACAAACAAGAGGCTACTATCCAGAATTCACAAAGAATGGCAGAACATAAATCCCAAGGAAATACAACTACTAATCAGCAGATAGGTGAATAACTGACTGACTAGGCGGTTTTCAAAAGCAGAAACACAAATGGCCAATAACTGTTTTAAAAGGTATTGAGTATTTCTAGCTGCCAGGGATATGCAAATTACAACTTCTTTGAGATATTACCTCACTCCAGTCAGAATAGTTATCATCAACAACCCTGACAACAAATGCTGGAGAGGATGTGGACAGAAAAGAACCCTTATTCACTCTTGTCGGGGGTGTGAATTAATACAGTTATTATGGAAATCACTTTTGAGATATTTCAAAAATTAAAAATAGACCTGTCATATGACTCAGCTATTTTACTCTTGGACATATACCCAGAGAATTTTATACCCTGCCACAGAGATATTTACAACCCTGTGTTTATTGCTGTTTTATTCACTATAGCCAAGAACTGCAATCAACCTAGATGCCCATCAACAGATGAGTGGATAATGAAAATTATCTATCTATCTATCTATCTATCTATCTATCTATCTATCTATCTCTATATCTCAAAAGTTGTTCACTGACTACGACTATGTGTGAACTATACCATGTGTGTACCCACACACATGCACCTCCCCTTACACAAATAAAAGAATAAAAATGTAATACAGTTTTAAAAGAAGAAAGTTAAGGAGTATATAGTAACATGGAGACAGACTTTTAGATGAGGCAGCCAGATCAGGGGATGTTCTGAAAGGAGACATGTGACCAGCCTTTGAAGAAAGTGAGGAGTGAGACAGAGGAGAGTTTTTCAGGTGAGGGGAGAAAAAGCTGCAGGGACACAGAGGAAGGAGGAATATATTGGAGTGTGCAAGCCCCTGGTCCAGTGTGCCTGAAGGGAGGAGAGGGAGAAAGGCAGAGGGACTTTGGGGCTGGACTACTTCCAGTCCCGGGGGCTTATATTACCTCCAGGATAAGGATTTTGAGTTTTACTTAAGTGAGGCAGGGAGTCACTGGAGTGTGTGTGTGTGTGTGTGTGTGTGTGTGTGTGTGTGTGTATGATGTATTTGTGTGTGTGTGTCTACATAAATCAAGGCAGGAGACACTCACCAGGAGCAGCTGAAAATATTCTTAGTGACTGGCCTTTTGTTCAAGTGTTTATGTACAGAAGGGAAAAATTAATCCAGGGAGATTAATCAACTTCCCCTTAGACCAGTAGCAGTTGGCAGAAGAACATGGGGATCTTAATTATAGCTAAAATGTCTTTCCAGTGCTTTTGCTTCAACTAAGAGGAAGGACATACAGAAAAAGGATCAAGGTAATCTAGAAGGGAAGAGATTCTACCTGGATTACTAATGATATACAGATAAATACTATGTATTTAGAAAATGCACTTAATACTCTTGCCATAGCAAACAGCTTAGTTTAGACTGGCTTACCTTAAACACAGGCAGAACTCTTACATTTGCCTACAGTTGGGCTACACCATCAAGCACAATGCTCATTTGATTGTAGTCTGTCTGCACACACACACACACACACACACACACACACACACACACACACACGTACAAAACATAGGAGAGGCTCAGTAAACATTTCTTTCAAGGATGAATGAATAAAGAAATAAAAGAAAAATAAAAAGTTTCAGGCAGAGGGCTTAAAGAGAGGGAAGGAAACAAGAGTGTTAATCAGGTGAGGTTTATCATCATGTAACACCTGGTATTAACAGCGTGGGGGTGGGGTGGGGTGGGGTGGTGGTGGTGGTTGGCTGTCCCACACTGCTCTCACAGGCATCAGTTGTGCTCTGTTAATTAACAATGAAATAGGGCCTAGAAAGGTGTCCCAGAGGTTAAGAGCACTTGCTGCTCTTATAGTGGACCTGAGTTCAGTTCCTAGCTCCCATGTCCAGTGGCTCAGAACTGTAACTCTAGCTTCAGAGGATGTGTTACCCTCTTCTGGCCTCTGAGGGCACCTCCTGCATGAACCAGGGTGCATACAGACAAGCAGGCACACATATATAGGCAATTATATACACATAAAAAGAAACAGGCATGGTGATGGATGACTTTAATCCCAACACTTGGGAAGTAGAGGTAGGTGGATCTCTATGAGTTCAAAGTCAGCCTAATCTACACATGAGTTTCATGCCAGCCAGGGGTACGAAGTGAGACCCTGTCTTAAAAAAAAAGAAGGGACCCCAGAACTCCAGAGAAACTCCCCAGATCACTATCCTGAGGAACAGCTGCTTACAGTACTAAGAGACCTTTCTACCCAGTGCTCTGATTAGGTGCTCAGGGCTCAGGCGAGCAGCATGACTGACTCATCTAGATCTCAGAACTGGAGTCTGCAGGGATGTATCTGAAGCCTGCATTCCAAAACCTAGAGTGGAAGGAGAGAAGGAGGCTCTGCACAGAGGAAATGAATACCTGCTATCAATGCAGATCAGACCCCGGCTTCCTGCCCCAACCGCTTGACATCCACATGAGATCCTGCATTATCTTCTGAGACCTCATTTCCATGCTTCCCTTCAGCTGCCTCTCCTTTCTTCTCAGCCTGGCTTTAACTCTTCTTTCATCTTTATTCAGTCAGTTC